CAGTTCATTCTCTATAGCCTCTGAATTACAGCAACTGGCAGGCTCGTTCGCATAGCTTGGATCAAAAGGTTTGATTGACGCTCCAGAGCTCGTATTGTTATAAATTCCTATTGAATATATTTTGGGTGAATTAATGAATCCTTTACTCGGCCTAACTGATGAATCCTGCTAAACTCATGAGATGCAGTAAGGTGTGATGATACTAAGATAAAACGCTTAGTACAACTGTAAAGAGCTGGACATTTAATAGAATTATCAAGATTGAACGTGAAACTGACGATTATAACATACTAAAAATGAGGCTGCATCATGTTCTTTTTTGCTTCGGCTTAGTTTTGTAACCAACTCCAGACTCATGAATGCAAATAAGAGGCGTTTAAGTTACTCTATAGACCTGTCAATAACAATCAACACCTAATGAGTTTTCAGCAGTCTCATCCACAGTTATAGATAGACAAATAAATGGTTTATATTTCACTTGTTTGCAGTGACAGCTTCAGTGAATATACAGTAGCATGATGGGAGAATTGTAATGTCACGTAGCTTACTTTCTATAAACAATTTGTACAAAATGTGATGGACAGTTTTGTTTTGCATACTGCTGGGAAGGCCTGCGTAAAGTTTAGGCAATGCCTTGGTTTTTACTAATGCATGAAACAGTGATAAATCTATTGAAGAACACAGTTCTTGTCTTTCTTTAGTGTGTGTAGACTGGTACTGTTGCCCCAAACAAAATATGTGTATAAGTGAAACATTTTATTTAAAAAATTAAAACAAAATTAATTGATTACTATTTTACACTCTTAGGAAAAATGGTTCATTGGGGTTCTATATATGAAGCATAGGGTTTTTTACTCAACTCCAAAAAGGTTCCATAATGACAAGAAAGAACCCTTTTTTGGCACAAAGATTCATTATAGGCTATTATTCATTCATATATTACATTATTCTGCAACATTTTGTAGTTGTAAATAAATTATAGTTTATTAAACTGTTGTTGTAACTTAATAATAATATCGCATTTTAATCATGCTGATTTTTGGAGGGGAAAAAAATTAAATGGCACTATTCGAGGGATATTGATTAACTACATAAAATGATAAAAATATATACTTTTCTAACCCCCATATTTTGAATTTTGTGATCATTCACATGCATTCATAAATACCTTTTAGTGTCTTGATGTTTGTCAATAATATGAAATATTTAATCCGGAAAGGACAAAACAAAATGGTAATGAATGAACCCAAAAGGTTCCATATAGAACCTTTGTCCTGGTTACAAAGAACCTTAAAGCTACACTGTCTGATTTTTACCCCATCCAGTGAATATTAGTTTCTGTTCCTCTCAATTCCGATTTCGTTTTGACTCCTACGGTGGCCAATGTAGTCCAAGATTAACATGGCTTCCAGTTCAACCTCGTCCATGAGTGTTAACTCAAACGTAAACGCGAAAAGGCGAAGCTTGAATTAACGGGTATGTCCCTCTTTGGCTAATGTACTTTCAAAATGGAGGGGCAACATGGCGACCAACATTAGAACACCTTACCCGTATGTATTTTCAATGGCATATTATACACTCACCGAGAATACTTTGACTTTGTATTACTTGAACGAAGCAAATATACATTAATGAGCACATATATTTTTGAAAGAACTAAGTGTTTTTAGCTAAGAATAAACTAAAAGAGTTACACAGTGTGGCTTTAAAGGGTTCTTATTATTGAACTCTTAAAAAGGGTTCTGTATAGAACCTTTTATGGGTTCCAAATACGTAGCACTGATAAAACCTTTTCTTCTAAGAGTGTACCACAACTTGAAACGCTATTTCTATTTATGAATTGAAATCTTACCTAGGTTTAACAGATGTGACTTTAATAATCATGGAATTATGCAAATGCATGTTTTTTTGCAAATGGAATGTTGCGTTCTCCTTTTGTCTGCCTTATAATGATTTACCTTTCAAATTGCATCATCCCAATCTTTGATCTCATGTCACATCTTGTATTCTCACTGTCTTCTTTCAATTTTCTCTATGCACATTTCCTTTGGGTACACCCACTGGGTCGCAATTCCAATAGCACTTCTTGTGTCTCTTTATAGAGGTACAGCTCAATAATTAACACGCTACTCTGTTCAATCTGTTCTATTCAAACCGGGAAATAATATTTAAATAGCATTTTCAAACTTTAAGAGACTCCGAAACAAACGGCAACCTCAAGATTACAATCGATATGCACACTTTCATAATGTGTGTGCGGTTCATGTCGGTTCTTTTTCTAAGAATAATCTCCATGGATTATTTCCTAAAGCATTTGCCCCACTAGACAGATTATTTCAGAGGAAATGTACATGCTTGGGAATTTCTTATTTTCCATCCAGCATCTTGCATTTCCCACGAGTCCAAAAAAAGTGTGGGATTACAGAGAAAAAAAAAATAGCAGCATTTGCAAGTCATATTAAACAAAGCAACTTTGACATTTCAAAAGGCGTATTACACATGACGATTCCATTATCTCTCATAAGACTGCAGCTCAAAAGCTATAGAAAGCCCCCAGGATTGTATCGAGCCACAGTCATTGACCAACAGATGTGTATCCTGTTACTGAGTTCAGCAACAGCAGTCGCCTCTCCACTACACCCAGAGGTCTATTAGTGGGGTTGGGAGGAGGGATCGGTGTGGCCTTTTGGTGTCATGTTGTAGTCCCATATGTGCCTTCTCTTTGACACAGTGCAGAGCCTATGCAATGATGGGCGTGATGTGTTCGAATCTGTGACCTCTCATACTGTGTATCCCCTGGGGGCACTGGAAGCACATAATCCGATGAAGCTATTGAAACCATATACATTAGACTGCCTGTGTCTGGAAAACTTGCACTTTGATGCTTAATGTGTTTGTAATGGATTGGCTTTCAGGGGCATTAGCTCATCCCTTTAAGAGGTATTCATATCTGTTTCTACTGCCCGCAGCCACACCAAAAGTTGTTCAAACCTACAGTATGAGTGTGAGTGAAACCCAATCTTTGGGCTTTCCATTGAATGAGCACAATGATAAACATCAGAAATGTAATGGAGCAGAAGGGAACCTCTCTTGAAAGACGTCTCAACACAGAAAGTGGCATTCCAGCTGAGGGATGCATTGGTCAGAAATGTTTCTTAATGATATTTTGCTGCTCTTTGTGCAGGCATTTTATTTGTAGAAGTAGTAGTTGTAGGATAGCTTGGCACTGAGCATCATCCCACTTGTTATAGTTTATTTCCTTCTTTGAGCTCTCGAGAACTCTCTGGGTGATTGTAAGGGTAGCGCACAACCTTCCACCCCCATCCCCCATATCCATTCAAATCGTATCTTCCAGAGGCCGTTGGATGAGGAAAGGAGGAGAGCTAATTCGTCAATGATCTTTCCACTAATCCCCCACTCTTTGCCTGAAGGCGCTCAAGCTATGCATCCCTCCCCCAAACCCAGCCCCCCTAACAAATACACTCTCCCTCACACAGAGACATTCAGAGTCTGCCTGGACACGTCTAGTGGGAGAAGATGAATGTAATAGGGTAGTTTGTAGTCTGCCACGCTGGTGCCCTGGGAGGAGTGCTTTTACACTGGCTGTGAATGAGAGCTTGAGAGTTTATTACAGTTTGGGGTGAGGTGTGGTGAGACAGGGCGGTGTCTAGGCTTTGTCTCGGGCTGTAAGAGGAGAACGGGATCTGCTAGGAGGAGTCACGATCAAACAGGAACTGCAGAGAATAGATGGAGTAGGCGAATGCTAGTGGGAACTCACTCCGATCATGCTGCAGGGCAAGAGGTGTCTTTGGAGCCTCTTAACAGGCACGAGTGATCAGTGTCTTTCAGATCTTTGAGCAAGTTCTGGATACAGTTGGATTACTACTGAAAGGAGACTACTCGTGCGCTTTCAAGTTGGGAGACTTTGAGCAGGTTTTCAAAGCTTGAACCGAGCTTGATCTGCAGCTGTCAATTTGTTTTCTACAGTTTGGCTTCAGCTGCATGGATACTCTTTTTGTGTACCTGTGAAGTGATTCAAGTTGTGAAGTACCCAGTTTAAATGTGCAGCATTTGTGGAATATGGGACAATTTGTTATTCAAGTGGATTTGCCATGGATTTTCTGTTCACTTCGCCTTGTTATTATGATAAGTAAGTTGTATCCCTTTTCATACAGTAACTCTACAACAGTGTTTTCTATAGCTTTTTTTTATTTGGTCAGCTTTGAATATTAGCAAAGTCCAAGTGTCTCTGTTTCTCTTCAGTACAGGCAGATTATAATCAGCGTATTGAAGTTTCTCAACAATCGATTGGGCATCTAGTCTTAGGAAGTTAATCTTAGGAGCCCAAGAGATAGAGATCAATGATGTATTCTGTGTACGATATGTTATCGGACAAACTGTTGCATGCTACTCGATATATCTCCTCACTCCAAATCAACTCCATCCTCTCCCTGAAGCCAGTGTATTCACTATATGAAATCATTGCTCATTATTTCGAATTTCTCCACACCCGACTCGTCCGAAACAGTTCATTTGAAAACCTCTCTCTCTCTCTTGCATGTCGTTAATCAGCATCTATTGTCAGAGCCAACTGAGCTCTCGAGGCATGAAAGGGAGAACAAGCCTTCATTTGAAAAACATTGTTCACTTTCTTGCAAAATGGAAAATATTTCCCTGCCAACAGCAGATACAGAAAAGATCTTGAATTCCTTTCAATGCAGTGAATACGCTTTTTATCAAGCCAACATGTTATTGCTTGCCATGTTTTCCATCCAGTACCCACTTGCAGTGCTGTAACTCAAGGGTCGTCCCCTGTAAAGCTGTATGAGGTTAAGTGCCCACTTGAGGGTTCGGTGTTAAACATGAGCAGGATTCCATGAACTCTAGAGTTCCTAAATTCTTAAATCTGCTCTACTAAGTTTGAACCTGTGTGTCAGCAATTTCGACCAAATATTGTCAGTGCATATTTAACAGTATTTCTTCTTGTTTTGTCTTTGCAGTTGCTGGTAAAGTTTCCCCTACCAGTTCCGATGCCCTCTTCAGCGTCCCTGTTCCTAGTACCACCTCCAGTCCACCAGAAGTTTACCTCCCTGCTAATTTCAAGATCTCCAACACACAGTTGGCCTTCTTTCTCCAGGAGACCCGAGTTACATCATATGGCAGCCAACGTGGACACCCTCTTCAGCGCTCTGAAAGCTTTGTGGTCTTCCAGACTAAGGAACTGCCTGCAATCAACATCTCACTTGGGCCTTTCACCCAAGACCAGACATTGTCCAAAGATCTACTACAGCCGTCAAGCCCTTTGGATATTCCTGGAAGGCTGACGGTCAACTGGAAGGTCCGGGCCTTTATTGTACAGTCTAGAGTGTTTGCTAGTAACCCATTGGTTCAGGTGCTGTTCTATATTGCAGGACGGGACTGGGATGACTTTAAGATTCAGGACAAGCTTCCATGTGTGAGGCTGCATGCTTTTAGAGATGTGCGGGAGATCAAAACTTCCTGCAGGCTTCAAGGGAATCTGGCTCAATGCTTGGCCCAACTGGATCTCCCTTCCACGTGGTTCAATGTTAACGTTGCACCACTGGGTCGCAGAAAGTCTTCAGGAACAGATGGGCTTGAGTTAAGTGGGGAGACCCTTCAAGTGGAGCTTTACTATAGCCTACATGATCCAGACAGCAATGATGAGTGTGGGGAGAGCTACCCACGCCGGGGAGGGGCATCCAGAGGGGAGAGCTCATCCCAACAACCCCTTCTGCGTATTGGGAGCATCAGTTTGTATCAGCCCAGTCAGGAACAATTGGTGGTGGACAAACAGCTTGACACGAACCTCTTCCTGAGGTTACCAGAGAGGCCATTAAAGCCAGGAGAGATCCTCAACATCTACCTGCTTTTGGTCCCAAATTCAACTGTGGAGCAGTTTACACTCAAGTAAGTCCATTTCTTAATGATATATGCGTTTTGGGGGTGGTCTGTCAAGTATTCTGCTCAATACTAATCAAATTCTTAGCAAAATACCAAGTCAAGCTCTATTCCTGTGTCGTTCAACGTCTGAATGTTCCAGAGAGCTAAAAAAAAACAAAAAAAAAACTAATTAACTAACATTCCTTACAAGGTAAAACTGATTTCCAAAAGATGAGACACAAATCACAGAGGATCTAACTAAATCTCTAGTGAAGTGCCTGGCTTTAAGAGATTGTGAGAAGGATTCTGCTTTTCAAAGTAAAGACATAATGGGTATTAATTGACATCTGTTCAAATTAAATTTCTCACGAGCTTGACCCAGTTCTTGTTGAATTAGAGGCATGGGGATAAGAGGCACATTTCTCATCTGGCCTGTGTGTTTTAATTTTATTTCTCTTTGTCAATAGAATTGGAGGGTTAGGGCTCTTGTGTTGTAAAAATATGATTTAAATCCTTGAAGGCAGAGGAAAATTAGCCTTTTTTTCCTCAGATGAGAGGAATGGAAGGTAGGATATTAGCTGCTCTTTGAGGCATGACTTCATAAACAGAGTCCTTCTAATTGTAATGGAAACTCACAGACTTCAATGTAGAAATTAGCCGTGAATTAATTAGGCTTCGATAACTCATTAACCCAAACAGGAGCAGACAGAGCTCTGCTGTAGCCTTAGTTCATTAAGTTTTATCTGACATAGTCTGAATTATTTTACAGAGTGTCTACAGAGTGATTTGTAGTAGAGTTTGACAGTCATTATGGGCCAAAAGAGGTTGCAATCGGTATACTGTATTATTGTTAAACTTTCTAGAACTTCACTATATTTGAGAACAAGAATGATAAATGCATGTCAGTGCTGTGTTAAAGTACTATGCACTAGCTCTCATGATAGTTTGTTTAAGGTGAACTGTCATTTTTATGGTATTTGTCTTAGTATACTGACACTTAGTGGTGTGGATGCAAAATCACATTATGCCCTATTCGTGTCAGACATGATTCATTTAGGCTATTCGATGATTGAGAAAATTCCTGATAATAGGAACGTTACTGAGACAAAGCAAGCTGCATTTGTATGGTCAAATGTTCTCAACATGGGTGTCTCAATGAGGCTAATGTAAAAACAGAAAACAGCTTTTATTAGGCTACCGATGATGTGAGTCTACATGATTTAAACAGAATTTTCAACGGTGCTGTTCATTACTCTCTTTTTAATAAAATATAATAAATTATAGAGTGCATCTTTAAAATACAGGTCATATAAATTCATAAAATATGTCATGCAGCCTTTCAAAGAAACCTGCTAAGATTACAGAGCAGATGTGGGCATTTCATCCGCAGTGATTTGTCCATATAGTGAGAGTTACAGTGCTGTTTGTTGTCACTACAAGCATCATGATTCATTTTCTGATCCTAATCCTCTTAATAATATGGCATATGAGAATTATCCCTAGTTTGGAAATGAAATCTTGGGAGAGTTATCTTCATACTGTGACATCAACCTGATTGATATTGTAAAGAAGCAGTTGCCCAATTTCTATTCCTTGTCACGAGGGAATGATTTAATAGCTTTTTTTCTAATCTAATATCTTCAATTAAAGTTCATCTGCAGTAGTTTTTCAGTTTACTATGATATTAAAATCCAAACTGTAAATCTCTCTGAAGTCATACTTTTATGCACTTGTGTTGGAGTTTTGTTTGGTCCAATATGGTGGCATTAATTCTCTGAGGAAAAGCTGAAGAGCAATAAAAGCTCAGGCCGAAAGAAAGGAGATGAAAGTCAGAAGTTGAAAGCTCTGAGCCAGTCAACTCGATGGGAGGTGAATTAAACTGTGCTGGGAGCCAAACGTTGAGGGATACCAACAAAAAAAGGCTATTAAAGATGTAATAAAGGAAGTCTTTAAATATGAATTAAGCTCAGATGAAGTCGCCCCCGACTTCACATTCCTTCCCACCATCAGTTTTCTTTCGTTTTCCGCACATTATAAGACATTCTACTGTTCTCATTTGTTATTTATAGAGATTAATCATGGGGAAATATTACCTTTTGAATCAACAGTGTTAACCCGCTAGTCATCAGTAGAGTAAGAATTATTGCCTCGCCATTGGAAAATGATCATGAAAAACCGTGTGTTGTACAAGTAACAACTGAAACAAATCACAAAATTTGGGTCTGCCAGGGGGCTACTTCAGAGCTGTTGAGGCAATACAAGATTGCTGCGAGTATCTTATTAGCATTTAAATGTCTTTTAAATTAAATTGGCTACATTAATACGTGTACAATTGGTTTCCAGCAATTCAGGCAAACAGCTGTTGTGAGGCAAAAGCCAGTGGCACCATTCAATCATTTGCCTACCAACAAGGTCACAAAACTGTTCTAAATAAAATGTTTTCAAGCTGAAAGCTGAGCTGTTAAATTGTGCAACTAGACAGAAGTTGTGCAACTAGTTGACCTGTCCCATTAGATTTTTCAGTTCTCTAGTTCTTTAGTTAGTGGTTATTAATATTGCTGTGAAACAATGGGTACGAATCATGTTCTATTATACAATAACTGTTGCTATTATTTTGTTTATATATATATATATATATATATGAAAAGGGGCCATATTTAGGGACAAGAATAACTTAGAAACTTGGAGGTGAGCCCCATTGACTTGGACCAGTAAGCAACCACCCTAAACTCCTTTGTAATCACCAAGTAGCACCATAGCAGCCAGTGTTAATTTTCATCAACGACATTTTTTCACAGACGAAAACGAGACGATAACTAAATAAAACCTTTTAGCCTTTAGTTCCCTTTCGAAGAGAACTTCGAACTGCATCAAGCGCTATGGAGACGCAGTGTCTCGTTCCCTGTTCTCAGGGAACATAGGTTACATTCGTAACCTGAGACGTTCCCTTTCGAAGGGAACTTCGAACTGCATCAAGCGCTAGATGCAGTGTCTCGTTCCCTGTTCTCAGGGAACATAGGTTACATTCGTAACCTGAGACGTTCCCTTTCGAAGGGAACTTCGAACTGTGTCAAGCGCTAGACGCAGTGTCTCGTTCCCTGTTCTCAGGGAACATAGGTTACATTCGTAACTTGAGACGTTTTGAATGACAAAAACTATGACGAAAATCTATTGACATTTTCGTCAACCAATAAAAACTAGACAAAAATGTTAGATAAAGTCGATCTGGGAAGCGATTCAGACAGAACTGATGTCCTGCGTGTGTGTTAGATGTGCACATTTGCACAGTAACGTGCTGATCTACCCCGTGGTCTCATTAAACGTAAAAAAAAAAATGTAAACATCTGGAAGAATGAGTAGAGCAGACATATGGATATGAATACAAGTGATGATGCAAAAAAGAGCTTTATTCGGTACGGTTTTCTGTGGGCACACACCCGACCTGAAGCGTGCATGCACAATAGACAGCGCTCAAGGACTGAATTGAGCGTTTTTTCGTATTTGAATGGACAAATATACACAACATTATGTCTTAATGTCCGTTATGGATAGTATTCATGTAAACTATGTCGGTTATGTCTTAAACAGTTGAGAGCGTATCCGCATGTCATTGGACATGATCTGATGTCTTAAAGTGACAGTGGCAATAAACCTAATGTGGTCAGTGTCCTTAATATTCAAGCAACAACTGAAAAAAGAAAAAAGCATTCACTGTTTGTTAATAGCTTAAATAAGGATTAATTGTATTTAATTCATACAAATAAATATGTGTGATTAAAAGAATAAAGAATGATGTATGCAAGTAATTATAAAGAATGCATATATCATTCATTGAAAAGATGACTGTGATTTACTTTAGGAAAAGTGGTTTTATTTAATTGTAAGATATTTTTTTGAGTCACAGTAGCTAAATCTGTATCTGTATTACATGTTCAAACTTAAAAATCATTCATATTAATAGGTTAATTGATATTTTCTCCGGGAGTAAATGGTTTTGGATATTTTAGAGAAATTCTAAATGAATGCATTACAATTTAACTAAACCCATTATATTTTAGTCTACTATAGATTTAGTCGACTAAAATCTTATTCTATTTCGTCGACTAAAACTAGACTAAAACTATAACAATTCAGATGACTAAAATGTGATTGAAACTAAATGGCATTTTAGTCAAAAGACTAATCAAAATTTGCTGTCAAAATGAAACTGCATAGCAACATGATAAAAACCATACACCTTAACGCAACTGTAGCTTTGTGGTGGTGAGATTGCACTTTTTATTCAGAAAACGTGTAAATCAATTTCTGATCAGTATTTGCATTTACTCATTTTAATAGTAATAGGGACCTTTTTTGTCCACCCATGAAAACAAATTGCATCCACATATAACATTGAGATTTGGTCAGCAAACAGTGAGGAAATAATGGAAAATATTGCTGTTTTCAACACTTCATACCAACTAAATGGTTTAAAGTTAATCGCCCAACTCAGTCATCATTTGCATACTGTGTCATATTTGAAACAGTAACAGTTAAAAGTTTGGAGTAGTCTTTTAATCTCAGCCAGGCTGCAATTTTTGGTTTCTCCTGTAATATATTTTAAAATGTTATTTATTCCCAACAGCATTGTTACTTCAGTCTTCAGTATCACATACTTTGTCACTGTTATCTCACCTTTAAGAGACGTCATAAATTATTTTCAAGAATTGGCGTCCGTTGTCTGAATATGTCAGAAATAATGGAGATGTTAACATTTGTGTATCACAGCAACCTAATGAGAGGACAGCGACCGCATCCATGTATGACAAGATAAATGATGATCTAAGAGAGGACGACAGTAACTTTTCAAGGTATACACATGCCTGCCATTAGACAACAGAACGGCTGCAAGATGCAGAACAATCCCTGAGTTGTCATGATGTTTGTTGAAGAGGGCGAAGGTTATAAAAGCACATATACACTCCAATTACTCTGAGAGAAAAAAAAAACATTCTACATTGCCTGAAGGTTGTGTCTTGTCGCCCTGT